TTATTATAAAGATAAAAGTTACACACACATGTTTTTAAACAATGCAGGCTCATCTAGTGACTGCAATAAAGCATCTCTCAGGGGCTGATGTAGTGCAACTCTCACCACTCACAGAGTGCATTCACAATCAGGGGTATTACACTGTGTCTCTAGTGAAGGCAGCTATCTTGGTAAAGGCAGGGTTTTGCTTTTTTAGCTCAGAGCCTCCAGCGAGGAGAACAGTGGGGGACACAGTAATGACATCATTAGATCTTATCCAAAACTTCTGAGTCAGAAGCAGCAGTGCCTTATATTCATATTTTAGATATACAGCTACGAGGATGTAGGCATAAGCAGCAAGTACACTTCTATTTTTCAGAAGGTTTTCCAGAAAAGAAGTGCTATTTGAGCTATAGAAGGAGGGTGCCAAGCTGTGTTATTTTCTGGCTTTTTTATAACATGGGACTTCAGTATAAAGATCTAACTGCCATAGCTTCTGGCTATACTCTTACTCACCTTGTGCTTTGAGGTTTTCTACTTACCTTTTTTACTCCTCCTGTTGCACTAACCATTGTGTAAACCGTTGGGGCTCCAATAACAGTGGTATCCAGCATGAACAAATCTCCAGCATTAGCCATTAGAAATAATATAAGCTGACCACAGTTTAAGATTGGACAAAAGGTGGTTTATTCTTAAACTGCAAAAGAGGTTCTTTACTGTTAGAGCAGTGAAAATGTGGAACTCTCTTCCCCAGGAGTGGAATTAACAAAAAAAAAAACTCTCCCTCAGTCAGCATAATATACAGGACTTTGGGAATTCTTTGATAGCAGTTGAGTGGTTGCATCCAGGCATTATCCCATGGTCATGAAAAAAAACAACTCAGGAACAAAAATGTAAAATTGAAAATCAAACCTACACACAGAGGTTAAACTGGATGGATCTGTCTTTTTTTCCCCAAACATTACTTATGTAACTATGCAAATATAATAATGTTTAATATCATCTTTTAAAATATCAGAATTTCCATGTGGCCTTTCCTGTAATCATATTCTATAGGTCTAAAGTACGTTGACTTCTTTGAGCATTCAATGATGTTTTTATAAGAATGATATCCCTTTTTCCCATTAAATGTGTATTATAAAAATGATTAGGTACAGCCTCTTGTATAATTAGCTGAGGCCAACTCAAAGGTTAATGTAGCATTACTAAGTCAGTTCTGGCAAATGGTAATTAGTTTTCAGAAAAGAAAATCACAATTGCCAGTAACTGTTTAAAGCACTTGCTATTTCACTGTATGAGCCCTGAATTCCAAAACTGACAGTTTATTGTAAGGAATACATAGTTCCTGTAACCTATTGTTTGAAATAATTGCAGTTGCAACATTCTCACCCCCAGAGTACATTTGCAATGAGCTGGAAATAATGCCTCTTCAATTGTGACATCATTTCTAGATAGGTTTTCAGGCATTGGCGCTGGTAAAATGAAGGAGAACAAAGACTGTGGGGCCTATTTATCAATATTTGCACCCATCATTCAAACTAATCGCAGCCAAGATTCACCCAACATTTTTTTATATAAAATTCAAATGAAAAAATGACTACATCTTGGGTGAAAGTTGTGTTGGGTGGAATAATGATAAACCCCTATAGAACAGGATAGAACATAGAGCATAGCACTGCAGCATCAATATTACAATTGCATTGAAGATTGTATTCTCATTATTAATAATGTTGTTAGCAGCCTTCTAATTATCCTAAGTTGAAATGGAGAAATTCAGCACAGCAACATGCCCTTGGTTAAGGGGTACTGTTGATGCATTAAGTCTTACATTGTCACCATTTGGCCAGATTTGAACAGATGATAAAAGCAGAGGAGTGCTATGTGCTTTGTTTGTAGCTAACATTTCCAGATCTAGGAGTCAATTGGAGAGGGCTTGTGATTTAAAGTGGTTGTAGACCCTTACATATACCCAGTGAAGTGACTACACCAGGATGAAACAAATCCTCCCACATAAGTTGTACCTGTTTATCTGCAGATTTCTCTTCTCTATAGCCATTCAAACTTTAGAATATATACAGTTTGTCTGAGCTTCCAGAAAGCAGGGGACAGGGAGCTGAATTTACACACTGGAGCACTCAGTGAAGGGGGCTGTGAGAGCTGATTGGAGGGAAGTGACACCCCCCCCCTTCACACAGCACACAGTAACAGAGCTGAGGCTGTCACAGGTGTGTTGAAGCTCCCTCCCCTGTCACCTTTTTTTCTTAGGGTCAGGAAAACTTGTCAGAAGGGACTCATGCAGATAGCAGAGGAACAAGGCAGAAGAGAGAAATGACACTTAGTGCTCTGGATTGAAGCAAGCACACACTATAGAGGGATATGCTTTGTTCATATTGCATGTTAGATGATTACAAACACTTTAATAAGGTTCTGGCATACCTGGCAGCAATTAATTTGCATAGACATTCTTAAAATAAGTTCCTTGTACACACCTAAATTACTAAATGTACTCAATTCCTTATTATTCATTATTCAATACCAACAAATTGAATATTAATAATTCATAAACATCAAAACTGGGCACTTTTTGTACATTACAGAAAGGAAATAATCTTCTGTATGCCCTGTTCTGTATTTAATATGAAATATATACACCACCCTTGGGGATGAGGTATAGCTTTGCTACTGCCATGGGTTTGAGACCAATCCTGCACATTCGAAGTTTGCAATTGGAATTTATATGCAGATTCTCCCAAAATTATTTTTTTAAGCCATGGCATGGCCATGGCCAGGAAATATAAAAAAGTGCCAGCAAAGGGCTCTGGACACATAACAGCCATAGTGCCAGTGTATCAGAAGCTACTGAAGGCAGGGGCGGACTGACAACTCATGGGGCCCTCGGACAATAGGGGATCATGGGGCCCCTGTGTCCTTGCCCAGACTCAAAAAAGCCTATGAAAAAGGAACAAGGGGCATCTCAAGGGGCCCCCTACTGACCCCGGGTCCTTGGGCAGTGCCCGAGTTTCCAAATGGTCAGTCTGCCCCTGACTGTAGGGCAAGGATAGGCAAAGCTAACAACCTGTATAGGAAAAGATTAGGGTTTATTAGAAAACTGTACTTTATTTCTGAGCTCTTTGTCCAGTCAACCCCTTTTGATGCTGTTTTGATCCCTTGGTAGCTTTTTTGTCTTTAATTTTATGCTATGGTTGATTTGAGGTCAGTGGTTGCCTTTAGCTGCTGTCCTGTTCATAGCATTTAAAAAAAAAAAAAAGGATCAGATTTAGAGAGGTGGTATTTTAGTGTTTTCCTTTATTTTTGGAATATAATTGTTTTATTTATTTATTTATTTAGTTTATTATTTTTGTTGATAGTACCTCAATTTTAGTCTTTTTTTTGCAACAAGGCTTTTTGTTAACCACTTGGTTTTACCCCATTCATGATCAGGGCTTTGTTTGCTATTCAACACTCAGCTACTTTAACTGGCAATTGCTCAGTCATGTAACATTGTACCCAAATTGAATTGTTAAGTTTTTTTTCACACAAATAGAGCTTTCTTTTTAGTGTTTTGGGAAAAAAAATAATTTTTCTTAGTTTCTGTTAATCACTTTTGCAAGAAAATATTTCTTTATAAATGTAGGCCAAAATGTATTCTGCTACATTTATTTAATAAACATAACCCAGATCAGTGTATATTATTTAGTCTGTGTGAAAGTTATATAGTCTACAAACTATTTGAAAATTGATCAATCCTGGTGTACTGACAGCCTATCTCATTTCTTGAGGCCTGGACAACTGCCAGGACAGTACAAATACCTCCCAAATTACCCCTTTTTGGAAAGTAGACAGTCCATGGTATTTAGTAAGAGGCATGGTGAGTTTTTTGAAGTTGTAATTTTTTTATCACAATTTTTTGAAATATAAAGAAATGAAATGTTTTTTTCTTTCACAATTTGTTTTACATACTGTCACCAGTGCAGTACAGTGTGATCATATGACCCTGGTACCTTTTTATATAGGCTTTTTTGGGTGTGCTTTGAGTGTGGGCAAGGACACAGGGGCCCCATGATCCCCTATTGCCCAGGGGCCCCATGAGTTGTCAGTCCGCCCCTGCATATGACTGATGTGGTGATGAATAGGGATACTGATTGGTGACAGTATGGGATTTATTTACTAAACCTGGTTGACTCAGAATCTTGTCCACTTCTGCATAAAAACCAATCAGCTTCCAGGTTTTATTGCTGAAGCTTAACTGAACATGCTAAGGTTAGAAGCTGATTGGCTACCATGCACAGGTGCCCAAGATTCTGAGTCAACCAGGTTTAGTAAATAAACCCCTATGTAATATAAAATAAAATGTTTATAATTTTATTTTTAATGTTTGTTTACATACTTTTATTAGAGTAGCTCAGTGTCATAATAGTGACACTATGCTACTCTTGGTGGGGGGGGCGCGCAGGGGAGGGGGGGAGATCAGGGATTTTTTTATACACTGTGCTTGCCGTTACAGGGAATATCATTGTAACAGCAATTGTTTGAATTGTCATGAATGGTTTCCATTAAAAAAAGTGCTTATTGTTGACATGCTGTGATCGAATACAGCCGATCACATGGTCACATGGTACAGGGTGCTGTGATTGGCCCACAGATGTCTGAGGTACTACAGTATCATTGATATGGGACAACAGTATGTCCTCAACATGTCTTATGATGCACATGCATCTCTGTGATCTTAAATGGTGATGAACAAAATGTAGATATATTTTAGTAAATGACATAATATCATACATTTTTCTAGGAGATTAACCACTAGCCTACAGGGCACTTATTCCCCCTTCCTGCCCAGGTCAATTTCCAGCTTTCAGCGCTGTTGCACTTTGAATGACAATTGCGCGGTCTTGCAACACTGTACCCATATGAAATTTTTATACATTTTTTGTGACAGATAGAACTTTATTTTGGTGGTATTTAATCATCTCTGGGTTTTTTTATTTTTTTTTATTAAACAAACCAAAAACCACTGAAAATTTTGAAAAAAAACAAAACATTTTTTCCTAGTTTTTGTTATAAAATTTTGTAAATAAGTGATTTTTCTCCTTCACTGATGTGTGCTAATGAGGCTGTAGTGATGGGCACTGATAGGCTGCATTGATGGACACTGATAGGTGGCACTGATGGGCACTTATGAGGAGGCACTGGTAGGTGGCACTGATGGGCATTGACAGGCATCACTGATGGACACTAAAAGGCAGCACTCATATATGGTACTGATAGGCGGCACTGATAGGTGGCACTGATAGGCGGCACTGACTGGCACTGATAGGTGGCACTGGCTAGCACTGTTAGGTGGAACTGACTGGCACTAATAGGTGGCACTGATTGGTATTGATAGGTGGCACTGACTGACACTGATTGGTGACACTGAAATCAGCTCAGATGGGCACTGATATGTGGCATTGCTGTGCACTGGTAGGCACTGAAATGTGGCATTGATGTGGCACTGATGGTCACTGGCAGGTGGCATGGATGATCACTGACAGCTGGCACTGATGGACACTGACAGGTGGTACTGCTGGGGGCTACACAGATCATCAGGGCACACTGATCATCAGTGCCCTGATGATCAGTGTACATGTCCCCTCTGAGGGATGCCGATTACCGGCTTTCCTCTCCTCTCGAGCTGTCAGCGTGACAGCTCGTGAGGAGAGAAATTTCCCTATTTACATGCGATCAGCTGTGATTGGACACAGCTGATAACATGACCTAGCTGACATCTTTGACTCTTTCCATTGATCAGTTATCCGCTGTATCCGAGGGACACAGCACACCGCCGATCGCCGCGCTGCACATTCCCAGAGCCGCACATGCGCTGTTAGAATGGGAGAACATCATATGACGTCCTCCCAGAATGAGAGAACCGCCCTACGTCCGTCATTGTACTATGTGGCGGGTGGGAGGCGGTTAAACAATAATCTGTGCATATTATCAAAAGGTGTGTGATCTCATCCATGAATAGTACCCCCCAATCTGCTTTTGTTAGCATTTAATGTTAAATAAACTGTCTGATGCCTGGATAATATTGTGTGTGGGACTATTTCATCTTTTGTGAAGTTATATCTCATTGTGGCAGACTACACCAAAGTCAGGATGGGTATCAGCTGGACACTCTTCAAAGACATTCAAATAATACAAGCTAAGCATTTGAATTCTTCTGTTTAGTAAGAAATAAAAATAACTATTTTGGTGTTTTGATGCTTTAAGTGCTGATAATTTTTGATACTGTCCCATTTTCTAGAATTCTCAATGACATACTGTATTCTTATGTTAGATAGTGTTCAAGGCAAAAAAAAAACAGAAAAGATTGTTATGTAAATATTGTCAACTATAACCTAATGTTACTAACTAATCACGAGTGTTACAATGTTTAGATTCAAAACCGGAAAGGCAAAGCTGTAGAAAATTTAGAATTCTTAGCTACAATAGATCTAAGTGTGTTCTATTATGGAACAAATATCAGTCCACATATCCCTCTTCCTACAAATCAGTCCAGTCCTAAATCCGTGCAGGCCTGGGAACTTTTGGCCAAACACAACCCAATAAACTTTTCGTGGTGAGGACAGATTTTGTGGGCACTTTTTCAACTACACAAAAAGAGGGTTAAAGAAGGTCGCTGCCTCATTTTTTTTTATGTCTCCTTTTTCTACCCTATCCAGTATGTTCCTTCCTTTGCAGATCAGGTATGTAAGGCTAGCTTAGGGCTAAATTCCAGTGCTTTTTATGGGTGTGGGAGTGGAACTGAGACATGAACAATATTCATAATCATTTATTTCTACAAGACTTTTTCCCAGAGATCGTTTTATCATCCAGTTTCACCCTTTGGGTCCTTTCACACGGGCGGACTTGTTTAGCGGATCTTCTTACTCAGTGGGGGATCTCTCTGCTGATCTCCGCTGAACAAGTGGATGACAGGTCTGTGTCTGCAAAGCTGATGCAGAGCGGACACAGAGCAGCTCGCTCTCTTCAATGGGCGTTCAGATGATAAAGGACCATCTGTTCGTTTCCATCCAACCCAATCCGATGGACCGAAGGGGAATTGGATCCCTATCCGTCCCTTTTTTGCGGGCAAGATCAGATTGGATGTAGGCAGGTGTAAATGGACACAGGTCCGTTTACTCCCGCCGCTCCATAGAAGAGAATGGAGGTTCCGATCGGGTCCACCTGCCTGTTTTTCAGGATCAGAACGTCCATGTGAAAGAGGCCTTACAGTGATAAATTCTTGTAGGGGCCAGCCCATTTTGTTTAATTCCATTTCAAGGAACTACCTATCCTCCATTTCCCTCTATTCTCTTGAACAACTTAAGTTTACTGTGTGGATTGGATTTAATAAGAGAAGCAGGATGGAAAATGGAAAAATGCAAAAATCTGATTACAATGCATTGGCTTAGTATAAATGTCACTAACTAAAGTATAACTAAAAGCAAAACTTTTTAGTTTCTAATATAGTGCAGAGGGATTAGAATGCTTGTCAGTTTCTATTCCTGTCTGTGCCCTCATTAAGGAGGTTTACCCTCTTTATTTGTGATGTTTAATATTATCATTGAAAGTAAAAGTAAAAGAAAATCCCAAATTATGAGTTGACATCAGAACACTTATATAGGGGAAATCTTCTAATGAGGACACTAGTTCTGGAGACCTTGGTGACACCCCAGGATTCCCTCACTTTGGAGGGATTATCTCTCACATCCTGTTTTGGTTATGGGACAGGACGTGAAAGGAATCCTTCCTAATTAATCTGCAAGGGGCATAACTCTCCCTTTACACTATCCACAAAAAAATTAAGAAAAAAGTTTTGTCTATAGTTCTGCTTTAAAGAACCATCAGATAATTTAATCAATTTATATAAAAACAGGATTTTACAGTGGAGTATTCCATATAAAACTGCAAACCAGGAACACTATGGTCCTGAATTGCAATAAATTGATGTAAGACAACAATATTGCCCCAGCAAAACAGAAATATAACATCTATTAATGGCAAACGTAAGCTGCAATGTTTTTTTTAAAAGACCATGAGTCTTTGTAAAATATGTTTCTTGTTTAAGTTACATAAGGTTCTTTGCTGGAACATAATATTCTTGTTACAAGGGATGTGTCCAGCTTCTACACTTCAATCATTAATGTAAACAGGATGAAATCTACCCGTTTGTTGCTATATAAGAATCCAATTTATATGATGTTGACTAGATAAATATATAGTATTAATATATACTATATATATATATATATATATATATATATATATATATATATATATACACACAGGTGAAACTCGAAAAATTAGAATATCGTGCAAAAGTTAATTTATTTCAGTAATGCAACTTAAAAGGTGAAACTAATATATGAGATAGACTCATTACATGCAAAGCAAGATAGTTCAAGCTGTGATTTGTCATAATTGTGATGATTGTGGCTTACAGCTCATGAAAACCCTAAATCCACAATCTCAGAAAATTAGAATATTACATGCAATCAATAAAACAAAGATTGTACATAGAACAATATCGGACCTCTGAAAAGTATAAGCATGCATATGTACTCAGTACTTGGTTTGGGCCCCTTTTGCAGCAATTACTGCCTCAATGCGACGTGGCATGGAAGCTATCAGCCTGTGGCACTGCTGAGGTGTTATGGAAGACCAGGATGCTTCAATAGCGGCCTTCAGCTCTTCTGCATTGTTTGGTCTCATGTCTCTCTTTCTCTTGGCAGTGCCCCATAGCTTCTCTATGGGGTTCAGGTCAGGCGAGTTTGCTGGCCAATCAAGCACAGTAATCCCACAGTCATTGAACCAGGTTTTGGTGCTTTTGGCAGTGTGGGCAGGTGCCAAATCCCGCTGGAAAATGAAGTCAGCATCCTCATAAAGCTCATCTGCAGAAGGAAGCATGAAGTGCTCCAAAATCTCCTGCTAGACGGCTGTCTTGACCCTGGACTTAATGAAGCACAGTGGACCAACACCAGCAGATGACATGGCTCCTCAAATCAACACAGGCTGTGGAAACTTCACACTGGACTTCAAGCATCTTGCAGTGTGTGCTGCTCCATTCTTCCTCCATACTCTGGGTCCTTGGTTTCCAAATGAGATGCAAAAGTTGCTCTCATCAGAAAAGAGGACTTTGGACCACTGAGCAACAGACCAGGTCTGTTTTTCTTTAGCCCAGGCAAGACGCTTTAAATGTTGTTTGTTGTTCAGGAGCGGCTTGACAAGAGGAATACGACATTTGAAGCCCATGTCCAGGATCCGTCTGTGTGTGGTGGCTCCTGATGCACTGACTCCAGCCTCCGTCCACTCCTTGTGAAAGTCCCCAACACTTTTGAATGGCCTTTTCCTGACAATCCTCTCCAGGCTGCGGTCATCCCTGCTGCTTGTGCACCTTTTTCTTCCACATTTTTCCCTTCCACATAACTTTCTAATAATGTGCTTTGATACAGCACTTTGGGAACATCCAACTTCTTTTGCAATTACCTTTTGAGGCTTTCCCTCCTTATGGAGGGTGTCAATGATGGTTTTCTGCACAACTGTCAGGTCAGCAGTCTTTCCCATGATTATGATTCCTACTGAACCAGACTGAGAGACCATGTAAAGGCTCAGGAACCCTTTGCAGGTGTTATGGCTTAATTAGCTGATTAGAGTGGGACACTTTGAGCCTAGAATATTGCACCTTTTCACAATATTCAAATTTTCTGAGATTGTGGACTTGGGGTTTTCATAAAGTGTAAGCCATAATCATCACAATTATGACAAATCACGGCTTGAACTATCTTGCTTTGCATGTAATGAGTCTATCTCATATATTAGTTTCACCTTTTAAGTTGCATTACTGAAATAAATGAACTTTTGCATGATATTCTAATTTTTCGAGTTTCACCTGCGTGTGCATATACAGTATATAATATATAAAAACACATTTTAGGTTTCTCATCTACACATGGTGGGGGCCTGCAGGATTTGTATCTGTTATAGAAAGAACATTTTTTGTTTTTTCGAAACTCAATAATTTCTGGTCTGGGTCCTGGTGCTTGGAGACTTGACAAAGAAACATAGCAGAGTGATAGCAGATACAGACCAAGTGGTCCATAGTATCTGCCCACATTTTTCCTTTTTTTTTTCCTTTTTAACCTTTTGGTATAGACATATGTTTGTCCCAAGCATATTTAAATTCACTTATTGCTGGAAATCTGTTCCAAGCATCAACTACTCTTTTGGTAAAATATACTTTCTAAGGTTAGTTATGAACTTTCCTCCTGCTAGTGTTCCCATGT